GTGATAATATCCACTATCACACATCACGGACCACACAGCCAGGTGCCTGCTTAGGACAGAGAAGTAAGCAAAAATCAGGGAACATAGGAAGATCCTGATTCATTCCCACTCAAAATCAACCAAGGGAGTGGGTTGATACCAGGAAGTATCTGGTCATTGAAGTCTTGAAAGGAGCTGAAACATGAGGTGCATAGTTGCACAACAACATGATGAAGAAGGGAACATCATAGTAATTACGATAAGTCAGGAAAAAATTTGCATCATCCAGGCAAGTTGCACATGCTACAAATATTGGTTGGTAAAGCAGCGTGACCTCATGGACGATGTTGTTTCTTGTTCATGAGTTCTTTTGAAAGTGGAAAAATGGTGCTGACCTGTCAGACCTCTTCTGGGCACTCCTTATGATGTATGTCAGCATGGTTGAGGTGATAGAAAATGTTCTATTGAAGGCTGATTTCTTCAAATGAGGCTGCAGCTTGCAATTTTGTTGTGGCCAGTTAGCATAGCTGTGATATGATTAGCTAAGCTCAGCTCTGCCAGTTCATGCACTATAGCTTATATAAAGCTGGGCATTTTCCTGCATAAACCCAGCTCTCAGAGATGTTGACAGGAGAGGAAATCAGTAATCCCCATCTTACTTACTGTCTGAGGATGCATTTTTTTCTTTGTTCAGGGAAAAAATGCTCTTGTGTGAGCTTGTCATGGCAAGGACTGAATAGAGAGCCTTTCCCTTTGGGAGGAACACTGAAGGGTACGTGTTGCTCTTTACTACGGGTATGCCTCTGTCAGATTTTCTTCTGGAACTTCAGGTTCTCAAATACACCAAATATATAGTACTTGTATAACATCCATGTGAAGTGTTTAGGATCCATAGCAAGGCCTGGGATCACCTTCAAAGACTTTATTAGGTACTACTCATCAAGGATTATTTCAGCATCAGTGAGCTGCAGATTAGAAACCAAATTAATAGAAGAAGAATACTTGATATCGTGCAGCAGAAAGGATTTTATTGAGAATGACAAATAGGATTTATCAGAGCACAGCAATACTGCAGGGAACAATGCAGAGGGATTGAGTAAAATTTACACGATAGCAAAGGAAAAAGGGATCAAATAGAGCGCAAGGAGATCTTGAGCAGAGATCTCATGCAAAGGGGGGCTGGCATTTATGCTTGCTCCTCGGGATGGCTGAATGTGCAGCCAGCTCTTGGCAATGCCCTCTGATAGCTGCACCTCTGTGCTTGCTCAGAGGCTGCGGATTTGCTCCTGTTCCTGTTCTTGCCAGGTCTTGGTGGGCGGTGGAGGTGGTGGAGTGATGCAGGGCTTCAGAGGGCGGAATGCTGCCCGGCGGGTGTAGCAGGGGTAGGAGTAGCGGCCGGCTGCAGCAGGACCCACCAAGCTCTGGGCCTCCAGGTAGCTCCCATGGCCAAAGGAGCTGCCCAGCTCCAGCGGGGCTGAGGTGCCCACAATGCTCTCCTGAGGGCAGGAGCTGAGGATGGGGCCTGGGAAGGTGATGACCACAGGTGGAGGGTAGACAATGGCACGGGAGTCCCCGCAGGAGGTGACGCAGGGCTGGCTGCAGGCATCGGCATAGGGCTGTGGGCAGGTCACCTCGCAGGGCAGCAAGGGACGGCCGTAGTCGCAGGGCTGCCTATTGAAAGCCATCGTAGGGATGGAAATGGTCCTGGAAGACAGAGAGATGCAGGAGTCTGGTCAAGGGCTACAGTGCAGTGCAGCCCTCGTTTACCCAAAGCCATCACAGTGAAGGAACACATGCTGAGAGCGAATGCTACAAGGAGATTGTTTATAATGAAAGGTCAGAAAGATGAAATACATTTTACTCTATTTCCCATTACTTTGTTCCACATTTCTAAGTAATACAGCAGTCTCTACCTGAATGGAAATGGAAATGACATTTTTCATGTTACTCTCCCCCATCCCACAAAGAGTATTACTTACTCGGTCCAACAGCGGATGCAAAACCAGGAGAACCAAAGTGGCTTGAAGGCTCTGGGCTGCAGGGACTTTTATATGGTCCCTACTTTGCATTCGTGTCATCAGTTGTCCTTACCCCTTCAGTTACCAAATACACCGTTTGCACATGTCAGTCAAGGTAATTGATTGGTGCATTGTTTCTCTTAAATGAGCAACTCCACCCTACATGGAATTATATCCATGTTATTGTCTACAGATGTCTTATATGTCAAAGTGGCGGGGGCCGTCTTTGTCTTTACTCTAACTATTGAATTTGTTGGAAACAAAGGAAAATCAGATTTGCTTTGTTACGAAGATTCAAAGTAACTTTTCACAATTTGTTGCTGCATTTAACCAATATCTGTATATGCATTGGCCATATATTGATGCTTGAGTGTATTTTGTGGTATTATAAATACTAGGTCAAGGCTGGCAATAAGGGTCCCAGATTTCTGCCTGAAGCCACAATAGTCTGTCTGATCCTTTAATTACTATTTCCTATTTCCATTCAAACAAAGAAAATCTGCACTTTAGAGCAACACTTGCAAATCCTTCCTTTGGAATTCAAAGTCTATCCTTAGCATAGGACTGTTAGCTGGAAATCGCAGTAAAGGGAAATACTTTTCCACTACCCAGAACAGAGCACTGCAAAACAGACTACAAAGCCGTGGCTTATTTAGTATTATTGGTCTTAAATTGTCTATGAAACATGGAAACTCACGCCCAGCTCTCAGCTGATGTAACTGAACTTGGAATCGAGGTAAAAGTATTGTCATATTGATCAGCCCTTGGCTTAGGGAATATCTTTTAATAACCTTAAAGATTCCATACATCAACATGCATTGCTTATTGTATTTTGAAGCTGAAAGGCAGAAATAGGACTTGATGTCAGCAGGTTGTGTTAGCCATCACATCCCTGCCCCAGAAGTTCTGTCAGTTATGTTGGACAGTATCAACTGCATAGCCTTAAGTTCCACTAAAGGAGTTTTTCTTTTGTGTAGTGTAGACAGTAATTGTTCTTCCTGTTGCCTTGGAGATAGGCTGTCAGTGCCTTGTAGCTGGACTATCTCCTCCTTTGTGTCTTGTAGTTCTCCAAACAATGATCAGTGACAGAAAATAAAAGAGTTGGTGTGCTCAGATTCTCCTCCCAGCTCTACCTCTGAACCAGCAAGAATCTGAGCACATTATTTAGCCTGTCTTTTAGTAATTCTATCAAAAAATCAATAAAATAAGTCCAATTCACTCAACTGGCTTCGTATATGCTCTTCATTTTGAAAGGAGATAGGTCACTACCAGCTCAGGCTTCTGCCTAGAACACACCTACCCTCCTAGAGATGTCCAGCCTGTAAGGCAAGGCTAAAACCAGAAAATGCAGGTTTGGTTTTTCCCTTACCCCACTGCTGTGCTCACTCTGGCAACCAGAACTGCAGCTTTGCCTCCCCACTCCTCAGCCCAGCACCTCCTCAGTGTTGCAGCAGCAAGGTATGTATATATACCTATACAGAATACACCTTATAGCAGACACAGCTGTTCCTATAGGGAACTATCCACACTATACATAAAGAAAGAAATTGTAGGCATCCTTCACCACCCTTCACTATTCTACCATTCTTTTGAGAATCCACCCCAACTCAGATGATTGTTGGTGTTGTGTTGGCAAATGTGACCACGAGCCACCTGACTTACTGAGGATTACATTCCAGAGGACCAAGGATTTCATCCACAGGACCAAGGAGGTATTGCAAGACTTGGAGAATCCAGCATGAGGTCCATAAAACTCATTCAAACTAAACTGTTTTCACATTGGCATAATCTAGGTGCACATCACAGCTATTTTTTTGTTTCTGATTTCTCCTGCCTTCAAGTCAGTGTTTTCCTTTTGCAGTTTTGTACTATATTAAGTATTTTGCCCAGCAGGTATAATGCTGCTCTGGGCAAGTCTGTGTAACAGCCTACATGAAATGGGAAATTACTGCTGATGATTTCTAGAGGGGACGATTAAGACAGAGGCCAAATAATTTACCAGCAGATCTTGGCAATTAAGTGAGACTTTGGGAGGAGATCTCAGGCATGTCTTGTACTTGTTAGCATTATTATTTATAATCACCAGTCTATTATCTGGCAGTTTATGTAAATGAGGTTGGCAGCCAGATAGAGAGTTGAGACAGTCAGTGCTCTCAGGAAGCAGTAACAAAGCCAACTAGTTCTAGGTATGAGAGGAAGGAATTTCATTGCCTCACTGCACTGGAAAGGCTCAGACAGAGGGTGGGCTGCCCTCATCCCTGCACACACATCTTAAAAATCTCTCCCCAGATTCCTGGGGAATCTGTTGTAGATTGCTATGCATTAATTTGGGCACCTTTGCCTTGTCTTGGGTTTAGAGCTGATACATTTACTGTGTTGCAGTTGCCATAGCAGGTTCAGGGAACGTCTTTATCTTTGATAAACAACAAAGACAAGAAAGCACTTCTATCCCACCCGATACAGCCAAACAAGCACAGATTACAGCTCACACTAGGGCAGGGACATGGTTCCTATCAAAAACTAGTCATCATGTGTAATCAAATTCAGCTCTCCAATAGGTAAACATGGTGAGTAAAGTTTTTGCCCTATAAAGCTTTTAGAACCAGTACGTTTCCTGGGAAAGCTCCTGCATAGAGCTGGCCCCAAAGAGCAGAAAGCAGTGCTTTGAAGTGTTCAGTGGGTATGACTGGAAGGCAATCCCTTGCTCTTAAGAGATTCTCTTTTTTTAGCTAAAACCGAAGGTCCAAAGCTCTTCTTTCCAAAGAAGCAGAATATTTCTGGCTGGAACAAAACTGCTCTTGGTAATTACTTAAGACTTACAACGTGATCTGGCAGAGAAGTCAAGGAGCTTGGAAGGAAGAGAAATACTTTCATCAAGACAGAGGTAAGGGGAGGAAAACTGAGGCGGAACAAACATCAGGTCAATGCTGTGCAGTTTGGCTTTTAACGGATGTGATAAACAGAATTAACACTTGTAATAACACAGGGGATGAAAAACAGGCATTTCAGGAGTTTCAAGTACTAAAAGCAAAGTTTGTGATACAAGGGCATAAGTAATCCTACGTTCCTTATTATAGCTGTATAATTGGAGCTATATGTTCTATTTTGACTCTTTTACAATGTAATCATTTTAGAGATATTAAGACTTATGTGGTTTCCATTATTATTCTATTATTTTGTGGAAGACCACAAAACAACATACAATTTTCCAGGACACATTAAGTTAACCTCAAGGGCATTGAGGGCACCCCAAAAAATGCTTGCAGTACACAAGATTCACCCCCACCCCCATAGCTGAACATCCATCCCATCCCCAAGGAGAGTGGGATAAATGCTGAGACGGGAAGACAGAAACAGAAAGTGCCAAAAGCTTGGAGTGTTAAATGGAAAAGATGCTTATAGGCTGTGCACATGTTGTACACTTTACCCACCTCCACCTATAAGAATGTTTTTCAGATACCTCTGAGAGCACCCAGCTTCTGCTGGCTCCATTCAGAGCAGACAGATCCGAGCTCTGCTCAGGCTCAAACCAATTTCCTATTCATGATTTTCTGCTGTGTTTTCCATACCCTGGTTGCTCAGTGCAGTGAACTTCTCTGATGTTTTTAGCACGGTCCTGAGCCAGCTCTGCTGGAAGTGCTGTAGGAGAATGGGCTACAAAACCCCCTCCCCAGTGGTGGGTATGCAGAACTGTAAGACCTGTTGTAATTGCATGCACTCCCAGAACCATACCCTTCCCCCAAACGAAGGGAGCCCCTTAAACCAACAGGATTTCCATAGCTCCTGTAACCAAAGCAATCCCCAGGACCAAAGGGGACACCAATGCCCAGTGGTCCAGTGCTACACACAATGCTTTCCTGTGGGCAGGAGCAGAGAATTGGCCCAGGGAAAGTTAGGAACACAGGTGGTGGGTACACGATGGCTCTGGAGTCATTGCAGGATGTCACACACAGCTCATTGCAGGCTCTGGCCAAGGGAGGAGAGCAGGTAACATCACATGGGCTGCTGTATGGTATGCACACATCTCCGCAGTACGACATCGCTCTGTAAAGTTGGCAAGCCTGAAACACAAGGGGAAGAGCAGAATGACACCTTATCCTCTGTCAGATGTGCACAGCTCCCTGCAATGAAGGATGTCACATGCCAGCCCATGTCCACACCAGGGATGAAGGCTGCACAAACAGACTTCAAGTGCACAGAGGCTTGCAGAGCTGAGAGCTTTGCTACGGCATGTGGATTTCTGTAAACAGCCAGCCTGAAAACAAACAGAAAGTTTCATCCCCATTCCAAACTAGACCTGATTCTTCCCACTTATAAGTATCATTAGAATTTCTGGCTACTTCAGTGCTCAAAAGAACTCTAGCTTGGAGCACAACTGTCTGAGGTTTCTGTGGTCACACCTAGAGCCAATGCAGAAGCAGAATCCTGCCCACAGCAGCTCTGCAGCCCAAAGCCCAGTAGTTTCTAGGTGAATTTCATTGCCCCTCAGGGTACTGCCCATAGTGCATCCTCTTGGCACAAGGAGGACATTAAATACAGAATAGTGAGCTTTTCCAGAAGCGTTCATAGTCAAGGGGGTCATTACAGAAAAAGCCAGCTCAAATACAGTGGTAAATGACACCAGGCAGGGCCTGCAGCTAAAAGTTGCTGGAGTGTTCAATTATGGAGTTACTTTTCAGGACAAAATTGTGCCTTATCCTGAAAGCTAAAGATTTTTATGCATTTCAACTCACCTAGACCTTAAATACACACAGGAAATAGAAATCTGTGAATACATGGAAAGAGAAGAATGGTTAAATGGTTAAATCTTCAATAGCAGCATGTGAGAAAATAAACATGTGATAAGAATTCAGCTAACCATCATCATGCCAACTTCCAGTATCTATGAGAATTTCAATCCTTCATTCACAATAGAAAGCCTCTAAATACACGCAGGACTCAAAGTCTGCCAATAACCCAAACCCAGACCTGTCAGACCACACAGCAGATTGCTTCCATTAGAGACCTGGTTATAGGTAGCAGCTCTGAGAGCCTCAAAGCTCTGAACCAAAACCAAAAGTAAAGATAGAGCAGTCAAAAGAATAAACACAGGCCTACTTGATGCGCTGAAGAAAGAAAGCTGGAAGAAATAAGCAAACAGCTTTCAGCTGCAAATGCTTTTATACTTCCTCCAGCTGCTTGCCGGCTAGGAGACCTATTTGTCGGTGATTATCTTATTTACTTGCAAATCAGATGTTGTTGTGAGGATCGTTCCTTCAACTGCTGTAATTATTTTGGTTAATTGTTAAGCAGTTCTGAACCCCAAGTAGTGCGACACCCAACTGAGAAATGGCTGAGGTTTCTTTATGGTCGCTAGTTATAGCTGAAAAGTTTCTTTACAAAGTAAGTGTGCACAGTTTCTCGTTAGATTTTGAAAAGCTTGGCTTGAAACCCAAATCCTCCAGCTGGAAGCAGAGCTAGACACTGAATATATCTATTGCTTCTCCACCCTCCATGGGGAGTTATAACTTCTTTACACAGGGAAATAGTAAAGCTACCACTGAAGACGTAGGGATTTTATTATTTGTATTATATATTTTAATTAGGAGAACTGCAAGGACAGCTTTCTATCTTTTTTTAAACAATACAAGTCCACATATTGTGAAAGGTAATCCTCCCCTTTTTTTTTTCCCTGTCAATTTGCATCGTGTAAAGAACAGAAGTCTCCAAAATCTATCTACTCAACTTCAGCATAACATGGCCAAAATCTGTCTTTCGTGGCAAAGAAAATAACTTGGACCTGCAGAGATATGAAGGGTCTGCTTAGGGAGATAAGATCTTGTTTTAAAGTGAAACTATTACTCATTACCAACACTTAAAACTGCAGTAACATGCCATTAATTTTATCATAACAGAGTAGTGTATCTACGCCATGTTAATCATGCAGAGGTACTTTGAAGTCCTTTATTCTGTGGAAAAATTAGAACAACCCAGATAAACATTGCCTAGAGCTTCCTCATAACCATCCCACATAGTTCAACTGTAATCTATGCTATAAAGAACAAGGCTTAAATTGTCGAGGGTGTAAACAAGCACAAGAGAGGAATGGATTGAAGAAAGGCATATTTATGCTGCTCAGCCTACATGGGAGGTACCCTCCCTTTTATCTTGCTGAACTGAATGGCAAGATGCCTACTCAGAAGGCTGCATTTTGCCATTCAGCCTTGTCCATAGGTCCAATTATAGCTTTATAACACAGAATTTTGTCCAATGGAATACCTCTCCCAAGTCCTTGATAATCACAGTTATTGCAAGCAAAGCCTCTATGAGTGTCTGTCATTTTTGCAGACAGGGATTTTGCTATCACCTTTCATCCCTGTCCTTTGGTATCTCAAAGGGGTGCTACCTTCAGCCAAACTCAAAGCAGATGAGGATGGGGAGCCACCATGCACCATGCCAGGAATGTTACCATCAGCACTACAACAACTACCTGCAGCATGGAGCCATAATGATAAACCAGTAAAAATAATGCACAAGCATGACTGAATTCCTGGGGGAAGATGCTAGTCTGTTTTTTTGACATAGCTGACACCCTTTTTTGGGAATCAGTAGAAAATTCCAGATTGGAACATTAGGACATGTAGATTTGTGTAGTTTTTAAATTTCACCAATTGTTTGATGCTCCAGCTATAGTGGAAACCCTCAAGGGACAGATACTACACAAAGTCAAGCCATGAAACTTGAAGAATTTGCCGTATAAGCCTAAATTATTAGCAAAAATAGCAGTGGACAAATTTAGAGAGATGGAGGTATAACGTTAGTTAGATTTACCAGTAGGTGCTAATAAGTGTTAGAATAGTAATGACTTTAAGTAACAATGCTCATGCTAATTGCTTTAAATCTGACCTTAACACCATTGGCTTTACTGACATTGTCACTCAGCAGTCCTGTTCGTGCCAGTCAACACCAGGCTCTAGCATTTGTCAGTCAGCAGCAAAAACAAATGAACAATTTATAGCATAAAACACAACTTCAGTGGTGAGTTTTCTGGTTGAGTTCGGAGCTCTTGTAACTTTCATGATGGTTTGTTGGCCAGGAAAAACTGAGGCTGTTATTTTAATGGGGAATATGTGTTGTCTTGTCAAGTCAGACCAAGCCAGCTCCTCCTCCCTGAGCGCGGCATGCGTTGGGAAAGATGGAGTGGGCAGTGGAGCACAGTGACTGGAAGTGCCTTGGGATGTCCGCAGTTCAGGTTAGATGTTGTAAGTTTGTTCAGAATCAAAAGCTTCTAAAGAAATCCTAAGAGCCAGAAGTGTTGAACTGTATACCAACACATGTTTTGGAGTACTATCTTCAAACACCCATCAATTAGACACAATTAGAGTCACCACCAGGATGAATCCCAATCTGTCATTGTTGGAATCCTTTGCCTGTGACCACCTCACAGGTCCTTCCCATTCCTCACCCTATTCCCAGGAAGCAAAATAGGCTACGCAGTACAGCATCAGTAACACTATGCCATCAAAGTAGTGAACATTTTTGCACAACCCTCCTCTAAATGCTATAGTAAGGGATATGCAACATCAGAGCACCCTCCAGGCAGCAGCTGTGTGCAATTGAGTGTCACCACACAAGCGTGGGCTCCCTGCCATAGAGATACTCTTGACTGTGTGCAGGAGTGAAGGCTGTGTATTTAAAAAGAAAAAGAAAAAAGAAAAAGAAAAAACAAAGAAAAAAACAAAGAAAAAACAAAGTAAAGTAAAAAAGCTTTAATTTACCCAACGTACTGAAATAATACAGTGTTATGCTTTAGACAGGAACAATTACTCAACATTGGGGAATCTCACTCCAGCAATTACTGGGATGCTAATAACCCTGCATGGCACTGAGGTCAGAGAGCTGAATTCAATGTCTCCTGAAGCACCTGTTCTGCACAAGCCCAAGACTTTCCCAGGCTGTTGTTCCAGGGATCTCCACAGTGATTCAACATAATCTAGAGATCATTTCGAAACATTGGCAGCAAGCTCGTCAACAGAGAAAAAAAAACACATGAGTAGATTAAGCACAGAAACACAGATATGGTGAGGAGTGATGAATAAACCCGGGGCACAGAGCTGTGTCCTGAGCTATTCCAATAAATTGTAGCCATCATCACTAAGAACTAAGACAACAGTCTGGGTTTTCTGCATTAAATACCCCGTGCCTTCTTCTCTGAACACAAATAAGCTTTGGTCTGAATATATATGATATGTGGTCGGCTGTTACTTTGGATGGTACTGAGCTCCATATATGCATATTTGAAATATTGTGAAAGCAGGTCTCTCTTGCTCTTTCTCATTTGGCATAAATCTATTCCTTATGCCACTTAGAATCTGGTGATTTATTTTTGTAGGCTGCCATGGAAGTGCTACAGGAAGGGAATAGGAACTTGCTTGGAAGCATCTACCTTCTACATACTACCTTTGCAAACTAAGATCTTTTAGTTCATTTGCATGTTTTACTGACTCAAGTTTTGGAAACGAAATATTGCCTTGAAGACTTGCAGGGCTGACTCATGTGCGAAGATTAAATCTTGATGAAGGATATGGCATTGTGAGCACAATGTGTGATGAAACATTCCTTACTGTTCTGAAAATGCTGCTTGCTCATAATGCAATAATTGCTGACACTTGTCAATCTCATATTACCTTTGGTATTGTGTTTTATCAAAGCAGTTCTAAAGAATGACCATAAACACAGGTAGCGAAGTGCACTATGTAGGGGTAAGTAACTCTTAAGATTAGCAATATGAAGATGAAGGCTTCTGAACTCTCCCCATGGGGTTTTGTGCCACACACAAATCCAGGGGACCCAAACTTTCCAGGGATTTTATTTAATAAGCTGTTCTGAAAGTTTACCACATTCTGAGCAGTTCTTCCTCACTTGTAAACGTGAACCAAAAAGTCTTCCCAAACATGTTTCTTTCCTTCCTAGTCTAGCGGCTTTTCTCTGCTAGCATGGCCAAATCACTCTTCTGCTTCATTTATATCTGCAACCAAACACCAGAACTCAGCTGTCCTGTTTGGGAAATACTATCATTTCTGTTAGATGTGTCAAAAGATAGCAACAGCTGAGTCTGATCCAAGCTTCTCCGTGGAAGTGTCATTTAGCCTTAAGGCTGCAAATACAATTTTCTGTGAAAAGTGACATCGTAATAACCCACATTCAACAAAACATCAGCAACAGCATAAAACGGTGAAAAGCAAAGCAGCAGGGAAAGTGGCACTTGGAGTTCTCTCACAGGGTAAACAGAATAAGAGGTCAAAGCAAGGGGCTGGCGCAGGCTTTCATCAGGTTTATTTTTACAAAGAGGCAACCATGAAGCTCTGCAGAGGCTGTGGTGTAGCAGCAGCTCTCCTGGTGCCGTTGGCACCAATGACCCCGGACATGGAGCCAGGCTGCTTCTATGACCCTGGCCTGAGCTGTGCACTGGAGCATGCCCCTTGGCTTTCAGACAGTTGCACTTAAATTTGCACCTTAGCTTGCCTGCAGCACATTCTGATAATTCTCATAGGCCCAACAGGAGCAGGCTGGCGCCACTGGAGGGCAGCAGCTTCAGCGTGCAGACAGCCTGCACTTCTGCTGCGGCTTGCATTTCCAAGCAGCCCCACTGTCCGAGCACTTCCCCTATGGTGGAATATCCTGGTCCAAGCACGGCCCCACCTGGCAGGGAAGGGCAGTGAAAAGGAAGATGCTCCTGCTGGTGCCCAGAACCTCTGCTTTAATACTTTTGGTGTTTTGTCATGTCAACTGCTTTATTATTAAAAAGTAGCTTCTTTTAAAATGTAGGCACCTGGAAGGTGATCTTGTATACCTGGAATTGCTCAGCTAAGGGGTCCCAGCGTGCCTCTCTTTTGAAATCAATATGATTGGAAGCAGCCGTCGGTCTTGATTGTTAAAAGCTATCATCATAAAACAAAAGAAAAGCAACTTGATCTTGGAAATTGTCCATTTACTGAAATAAAATATCCTGAGTAAACACGGAGGTAAATGTATGTGAAATCATGACCTTTTTTTTTTCTTTCCAGTTCAGAGTTATTACAGAGTCTTGGGGAATGTAACCCAAGTAGTATACTATTAACATTGTATTAACATACCATGTTACATGTGTCATGCCTTGGAAGGTGCCAGTGAGGCACCCGGGCGGCCCTTTGTTCTGCGGAAATCTTGGGATGTTTCTGAGTGGATATAATTGCTAGAATGACATAGTATTTCCTAGGCACAAAGAGACTTTAAATAAGCCAGCACACGTATTTAGCCATTAGAGAAGAAGGAAATCAAAATAATCTTTAGAATAAAAACAGCATGTGAAGTTGCTTGGCATGAGCAGGATACAGCTGGCTTCCCAAGTAGCGTCTGCCTGGAGGGACTCACTGCTGGCACCAGCTGGGCAGACACAGAAGCAAGGAACTGGTGCTTCAAGTCTCCAGGTGACTGCTAATATTCATGAGTGAAGGTGCTTCCCCCCCCCCCCCCCCCACCAAAAAAAAAAGCAGGTTGGGAAGATTTTAATGCAGAAATATGAAGAACTGCAACCTGTCAGAAGACTTCCACGTAGGACTGGATACACGTTAGAACATAACATTTTAAAAAATACACATTTTGCTATAATCTCAAGGCAAATACTTTTGAAAACACAGATCCATGTTTCCCCATGACTAAAACTTGCTCTCGCTGATTTCCAGGCTGCAGCCTAGACTGAACAGAAGATATCCCATTTTTTCACAGCAGAACCAAACCTTAATTTTCCCTGGGCATCAAGTTGTGGCTGGTCTGGGAAAAGGGTCAAGGACAGCTTCTGTTCCTCTATATAACAGAGTATCTCCAGGAGAGCATTGCAAATGAGTAGCAGAGGAAAAAGGAGATTCAGAAGGCCAATGGTTTGATGCAGCAGCCTTTTAATGTGAATGCAGAGTGGAGTAAACATTTGCAGAAAGAATAATGAAGTCTAGAAAAGCATATATTTCTAGAAACAAGGAAAGCTAGAACCAGTTACCCATTCCAGTGTGGTGCATTTCATCAAGATGTTCTTTTTCCTCATTTTTGCTGAGTGTGACATTCAAATCCCTAGGTGTGCTTTTTTGTTTGTTTAAATCACAAAGTCAAACTGTGTAGAGGAAGTTAAAGGCACAGATTTAAGATGCAAAGCCACAAGAATAAAGAAAGCATTAATCTAAGCTAAAGCACTATACGGGAATTAGAAGCAAGGTCCTGATTTTGGGGTGCTTCCCCCTGTAGTAGGAAGAACCTTGAAAGCCATGCCTGTAAATGACGATCCGTATCCGTTCACTCCTTTGCTTGCTGTTTTCCTGTGATTGTTTTCTGGGGTAAGCTGATTAGAGCTTCTTGCAGAAGGCTCTCTGGCATGGATGCTTCCACTGGGTGGAATAAGTGTAGGAGCGCTCTGGCACACACTGAGGCACGCACTGAGGCTCACACTGGGGCACGCACTGGGGCACGCACTGGGGCACGCACGGAGGTGGACACGGAGGTGGACACGGAGGTGGACACGGAGGTGGACAGGGGGGTGGACATGGTGCCACGCACGGGGCCTCACACTTTGTCACAAGCTTTGTGACACAGGGCTCAGCGCAGGGCAGTGCGCACTCAGCCCCCTTCTGCGCTGAGCCGATGGCTACACCTGACTCCAGGGCGCTGGCCAGCTCGGCTGACTCCGTGGAGCCCACGATGGTCTCTTGTGGGTAGGTGGTGAGGATGGGCCCTGGGATGGTGACGACCACAGGTGGTGGGAAGATGATGACACGGGAGTCAGGGCAGGAGATGACGCAGGGCTCACTGCAGGCAGCAGCGCAGGGCTCGGGGCCTTTCACATTGCCTACAGCAGCACATGGCTCTGTGCACAGGGTTTTCTCACAAGACATCGTTTAGCTGTGCTGTAGACCTGCAAGAAAGGAGCAAATATCACCTCAAAGAGCCAACAGGGCAAGGTCAATGCTGAAGCCAAGCAAGCGTTAACCCTGAAGGGACACCGTGGATTCTTTTGCTTTTAAACTAAATCAAAGAGTGGAGAAATAATGTGGAAAACATAAAGCTATCTTCTGAGCTGTCATTTCAAGCTTATGCAAATGCCTAATCAAAGGGCCAAATAAAGGAGGTAGGCAGTGTTGTTCGAGATTGAACAGAGTACTCTTTTTTTAGCCAAAATGACTGCCTTTTCTTTTCTTTTCTCTAGCTCAGCAGTATATTAGAAAAGCCTAGGTGGGGTTCAATTTGACTCAAGCTATTTTTCTTGGATTTTGTTTGTTTGTTTTTTGTTTTAGACACAATGCCAAAATAGACATTATTCACCTAAGCTTCTCCTGGCCCTTAAGCCCTAATCCAGGTATCTTCAGGCTCCCACCCTTTCAAGCTGCTTCATTTTATCAATCCAGTGCTCTTCAACTGACCTGCAGCTCCCTCAGCAGAATCAAAACCATGGGAAATGAATGCCTAAAAATCCATACATGCAGTACGAAACATATATAGGTTAATATATGCTTTCACAGCCTGTTGAATGCTTTGCATAAGAGCATTTTCTTGCATAAACAGTAGAAAAACACCCAAAGCAACTCCCGGAGAAATGTACACCTTAAGTAGACATTCACTTTTTTCCCCATTTCTTCTGCAGAGCTGCATTTAGCAATGCCAAAATATTGTCCTGGGCTATTCAGGACAAGTGCCCAAAGAGGGTCTCAGGTGCAGCATTCCCAAATTCAGACCAGGAGCTCTGCAGGGCCACATCCACAGACATGCGGTGTCCTGAGGGCTGCCTCTGCTCCAAGGGGTGACTGCAGCCATCTCACCATCTCACTGTTTGTATTGCCTATCTCAATATTCACCCATCTTGTCTCTGCCCAAGGTAAGATAACAATCAGTAGCCATGAGGTCTGAAAAATGCTGCCAGATGTGTACTGCTTGCTAAAATAAACTATGGCTCCCCAAAGGCCTTATACATTAAATCTCTACATGACAAAAGTAGACGTCTTTAATTTTATCCAGATTTCAAATGTAGTTTAAAGCCTCAGTCCATTGCCGCCTTCAAATGAATAATAAGCAAATGAATTTCTTATGAAAATAAATTCCTGACGATCATACAAAATTGCACAATATTAATCCAAAATTCAACCCCAGAATTCACCCAGATATTTCAATAAATGCTGATCTTTTGGGTTTTTTTGTTTGTTTTTGCTTTTGTTTTCTTTTTAGAAAGAAGAAATCATATCAGAATCCAACTTACTCTGTTCACCGAGGAGAAGTCACGAGAACCTGCTGGAAGGTGTCTGAATCATGGGTGGTTTTATATACCGTCCTGGACCACCAGGCTGATGCAAGAAAATAACGTCATATTTGTGCATTAGGTTCCATTACTCCCCAAACAAAATTTGACGTGTAATTACAGTAATTGTTTTGCTTGCTGTTTGTGTTGATTACCCTATTCTAACCAGCATGTGACTTCAACAGTCCCATCCCCAGATTCCTTTCATTTCAGGATTTTAAGCATCAAACCCCTTCTTGAAGCCCTGAGAGCATGAAGGCAGCCTATAGCAGTAAGCCCTGGCTTGCACACAACCCCAGCCATGCTGCAGCAACTCAGAGCCTTTGTGGGACTCCATTCCTTTAGAAAACAGGGGTTTGTTTTCCTTCCCTAAGCATCTTGACCTCCAAGAATGCATAAGTGCCTAACCTAATATTAGCAGTAAGTGTGCTTGCTAGTTTGAAGCTAGTTAGGGCATGTTTACAGAAACTGTAGTCACTGTATGAGTGTAGTGTCCAGGATTGCCTTGGAGAGACACTCCTGGGGCTGAGCTTTGCTTGTAGTCGCTCCTCACTTCATGTCTGAGTCTCTTCCAAGCAGGGATGCATTACTATGCAAGGGCTTGGTGTGGCAGCAGCCTCAGCCAAACGCAGGAAGAAACATGAAGGGAGAAAGCTCTCTTTGGTGACAGCAGGATCTAGGAACTGCTCAGTCTGGTTTCGATTAAATCACTGTCTCTCCAGTCACCTCTCCAGTGGTTATGGTCAGAAAAATCCCTAAATATGGAGACCTGAGTGTGCCTGACCTGAATAAGGGAGCAGAGCTCTGGCAAAGCAAGCAAGGCTGGAACATCCCCATTTACCATGCAGGGTGGCCAGGGAAAAGAGCACCACTGCTTTATTTAAGATTGCTCAGGAAGGCTTTGGTGATTCAGAGTTACCAGTCTGTGCCCAGTTTGACCTGCTGTGATGAACAGCATCTCCCTGTGTCTGAGGCACAGATCCAGCCCCCTCAGATGGCATAATAATATTTAATTTTGTAAATATGCCCTGTTTTGGAAAGGTGAATATTTGGCCAACATATTTTAAATAGTATGATTAGGCTAACAAATGCAGAGCTGGCTTTTAATCAAAAAGCAAAACAAAACAAAGAGATCCAAATTCCCAAGGTGCTTATCATTGCTTGAATCAGAGAATCACATGGGTGGCCCTGGCATATATATTTTAAAGTGACGCTATGATTCAATACTGTGGAGTTTTATACTGGCAGCCTGTTATTAACCTCCTAACACCACAATACTTTGCATGTATAAAACATTAGTGGGTGTTTGCAAAACTGTCTGAAAGCATTTCCTCAGAACATTTCCAATAAGTGCTCTTGCCTACAGGATCCTCTGAAATCCCTTTGCTTCCATGAGATAATTGATAGCACAGAAGTTGCAACATCACTAATAAAAGAAAATGCGTACATATGGGTACTGGGAGGGGGGAAAAGGGGGAAGGTTAGGAACCCAGAAACTATTCAGTGTACACAAATACCCTTTGCTTGGATGAACCCAAGAGCATGGTGACAATCAGAATTATTCTTACCCAGAGAGAGCTGCAGCTGCAGCTTTTACCAACTGTTCTGGAGCTGTTCAGGGGAGATGAGATGTGATGCTGAGAGAGGATTTCAATGGTTTCTGCCCAGGCACAGCCTGACATTTCAGCTTCTGGCACCTTTAGAAAGCACAGCCTGGCACCGCCCAGTTCCTTCCCTTAGTTTTGAGCCCACCTCCTGCACTTTGCTGGTGCTCAGCCCACTTGGCAGCCTCTTCCTGGGGCTTTCACCAATGCCCATGACCTCAGGACCCCTCCAGCCCTCAGCCTCAGTCTCTTACCCTCAGCCTTCTGCCCACAACCTCAGGGCCCCTTCAGCCTCAGCCTCCATCCTTCAGCCTCAGCCTCCAGCCCTCTGTCTCAGGACCCCTCCAGCCCACAGCCTCTTACCCTCAGCCTCCAGCCCTCAGCCTCAGCATCTTGCTCTCAGCCTCCTGCCCTCAGCCTAGGACCTGCCTCAGCCTCAGTTTCAGCCTCAGCCTCCCTTCAAACAGAACCCACAGCAGGAGCAGGTCTGCAGCAGCCTCCTTCGACTACCTGAGCTCCGGGAGCAACTCTAGAGGGAGCACCTGAGCCCAGCTTTCCCATCCACACATGCATTTATGCTCCTGATGATACCTGTTTACGTTTTTACAGGCAGTGATGAGGAGGTAGTCGTGCAGACACCACTGGGAGAGGATTTTTGGAGAACTCAGAAACTAGAGAAGTAACAAGTGTGGTTATGAACAGGCAAACTACATGGGTGTGAATTGCTTGAGGAGGAGAACATCTTTCAGAATCTGCTGTGCAAACCAAAGGGCTCAAAAAAAAAAAAAAAAAAAAAAGATCGTTTTGGAAAAAAAAGTGTGCAATTGTATGAAGCAGCTACAGAAAGAGAGCTGCTGAGGTTTCTCATCCCATACTCTCCCCTGAATTATCTCTGGAAAAGGTTTGACAGAGCTGCTCTCAACAGTGTCCCAGCCCTGGGATACCACTGTCTCATTTGTATGTCAGCACCTCACTGCTTCTGCAGTTGGGAGTTCTTTCCCCCTCAAATTGATTTTGCTCTTCTTTGTTGAAATGTAAGCCAATGACATAATCTCCTATTATCCCAATGGATATAAAAGGGTTTTTACTTCCTTTCTCCTTGAAGAAATGTTGTACAATTTCATATCCCTTTGTGTGAGCCCCTCTACAATAAGTAAATCAAAGGTGCTGGATAGTTTCTGTGAAATAAGATCAAGAATAGATGCAAATAACTGTGGGCAAAGGGGACATCTCTCCAAATAGGCTGTGATTAGAGAAGGAAGAACATGCAAATAAATCATTATAACTACAATTAGCAATTGAAATAATTTGGCAGGGATGAATGATTCCCAAAAGATTTTAAATCGAAAGTGGGAAATTATGGAGTAGATTTAAAGTACTGGGTAATATTTTCTGGTTTAAATAGTCCAGAGGTTCCTTCTGGCACAAAAGCATAGTGAGCAGAGTGGCATGACCAGATTCATAAGGATGAGTCATTTTATTATGGGAAAGTATCCACATAGGAATAAAGCGGCACATGGAGCACTTAGTTAAGCCAGAGCCCAAGGGCAGACATGCACACAAATCCCAATATCCAGAAATTCTTTAGAAAAATCAAAAACCAAAGCCTTTCATATCAACAAATTATTACATTATAATTGATTTAAACAGGTATTGCAGGTTCCTATTCTCAAAAGGAACATGGCTGTCACTAAGCTGTATTTCTAGGAAGGCACTGGTTGATTTACCTTTTTGATTCTATGCCGCATGACTTTACCACAAACACCAAAGGATCTGGTGTAAGATTTATCAATCTTACCCATCAACCATAACACTTTGGTGTAATAAAGGGGTTTGATTCTCATTTAGAACACTTGCAGATGTGCTGAATTGCTCAAAAGGTGACTTGAAAACACAGATTAAGAGGAAAAAAAAATAGAGAGAGTTGAGTTTGAATGCAAAATAGTTTTAATGACAGGGAAGTACAGTGCACATTTAGTGAAGGTGGTCACAGAGCACATAGGACGTTTCCCTGCAAGCTCAGTGCAGCCCAGGAATGGGAGACATTGGCTTTTCAGAAGTAACCACAGCTTCCCCCACCAGACCTGCGGGACCCAGAGGAGCCGAGGCCTCCATAGCAGCTCGCTATGCCAAAGGAGCGCCCTCCCCCAGAGGAGCCACCTCCGTAGGAGCTGCCTCCTCCAAAGCCACCTCCGTAGCAGCTCCTGGAGCTGATGGATCTTCTGCCTCCAAATGAGCCCCCGGATCCAAATGACCTGCCCCCTCCATAGGAGCCCCCTATGCCCCCTCCATAGGAACCCCCTACAGCCCCTCCATAGGAGCTGCTTCCTCCATAGGAGCCACCAGATCCAAAAGAGCCCCCAGATTCACTGGGGCCCAGCGACCCTGAGAAGCCTCCAATGGGTGATGGGAATGAAGAGCCCACAATGGTCTCCTGCGGGAAGGAGGTGAGGGTGGGGCCTGGGAAGGTGATGACCACAGGTGGGGCGTAGACGAGGGCACGGGAATCCCCACAGGAGGCGACGCAGGGCTGGCTGCAGACATCGGCATAGGGCTGCGGGCAGGTCACCTCACAGGGTGCAGAGCATCTGCTGCTCATCATCTGTCCTCCTGAAGACATCTTTTGTGATGCAGATATACCTGCAGCAGTGAGTAAGGAGTTAAAATAAAACATATGTGAGTCTCCGTGCTCTCGTACCAGACTCGTGATGACACAAACTGTGTGCTTCCTATAGAATGAATTATTTTCTTACAGTATGAGACTATTTTCTTACTGTATTCTTCTTATCTTCTGTCCAAACTGAAATATTATTGCTCAGTATGGCTAAGTCTAAACAGTACAGATCCTAAAGCAACTTCTCTTGCAGTCTGGTGTAGCAGCCAGTAAGGAATAAATCTTTCCAAAGTACCTTCCTCCTGCCTTGGTTCTGAACCAGTGTTTGTTCTGATCAGTGTTCCACCACTGATCAGTTCTGCTAGAGACTCATTTCTGCCTCAATTTTGTCAGTTAATGGGTTATTTTGGAAACAGATTTGTCAGACTGTGTAGTTACAAAGCAAAAATCAACTGAGGTTATGTCTTCTGCATTAATATATACACATCTCTTAATAACTGCCGAGTTCCAAGTTGTAACCTCCTTATCAAATTAAGAGGACTTAACCGATCCCTTCCCTTTGTAGTTTGGATGAACACAGCCTCACATTTTAAGACCACTTATCTACCGTTGGCTACAGCTGAATGGCTACAAATATCCTAATATTTAACAAAACCAACATTTCTGAGCATCACAGAGAACTGACACAGAGTTCATTCCCCAGTTAAACAGCAATAGAAACATCTCAGTAACTGTAAAGGAAGTTAAGGAGAAATACTTACCAGGCTCACAGAGAAAACCTGATGAAGTGAAGTCGTTGGTGAACCTGGAAGAAATGCAGTGCTTTTATACAGTCCTTCCAACTGCTAGCAGGATACGCAACACACTCCTGCACATGGGGCATAGTAGTTAGCCAGCAAAGCATTTTGCTGTATAAGCTACTTCTAATTGTAATAATTATTTTGATAACTGATAATGGCTAGTAAATCAGCCCCGCATCATTCTATATACTCAACACGCCCTTTGTCTTACTGTAATACCTAAATGGTTTTTTTTCTATTCGTTTTTATGACTAGTGCCATCTCCTGACCTCATTTGAAATGCAGTGGCAATGAATTGAGCTCTGTTTGCTGACCAAGGTAAAGGCATCAGTCTTTAGGACGACAAAGACACGAGTTTTCCTTTGTGAGGGGAAACATTTTCTGTTCTGCAGAAGGTTCTGTTGAAATTAAGAATTGCAAATAATTGGGAGAGTTGCGAATTTCATCCCTGCAGCTCCTCAGATGGGGCAGGTCAGTTCTGTCTAACATCCACCCAAATAACTGCTTACAGAGGACCTTCGTCAAACGTACACTGTCATCCAATTAACTACAAGGAAGCACTGCGTGAGAACATTTAATGCTTTTATTGCTCTCCTTCTTTTGTCACCTTCAAGGAGAGCTGTGATGGTTTAGCAAGACTGACGTTCTCCAGGAGGCATCACTAAGGGAACAAATAAAGACTTTTTGGGCATGGAATGGATGCATGTGGAGTGTGCCTAAAGGTGGTTTACAATAAAACAACTGTAAGAGTCTCAAGAATGGAAGGAGACTCTTATTTTATTTTATTCACAAATACCCCAGCAGTATTTCTGGAATAGTGCTTGGAAGTCTCGTGTACCAAAAGACAGGGCTAAGAGTCCTTAAATAGGAGGAGATCTCTCCATGCAAAATCTCCTTTACCAATAACCAGGGGGAGATGATCAGATGTGATCAAACTTTTTGTGGGTTGTAACAAGCATCAGGTGGACAGATGACAGCAGTATCAAACATCCAACTTCAGTGCTTTGTTGCTGAGTCCAAATAATCTGAAGTAATTGTCGACTTTGGCTCTCAGTCACAGCTATGGGAAGAGAGCAACCACAGATGATCTGAAACGAATTGGTTTGGTTTCCAGCCTGTTCCAGTTGTCACACTGTACTTAATGTTTCCATCACAGGTTTCCTGTGTTTTCATACACCATTAGAAAATAGAGCACGAAGAGCTTATACAGTTAAAACCTTGCATCAGAATGCGAACGAGTTCTGTCAGGCATCAGTGGGCAGCTCATGATGTGACAGTTTTTGCTAGTCAGCAGTTCTTCGTTAGCTGCTCAGTTAATGTCAATCGTCTACAGTTGAGAAATACCAATTTACATGGAGGACCCCGGGCACTGCCTTCTGCTTCTTCCCACCACAGGTGAGTGGCAGCATTCTGTTCATCACCCAACTGTTGCTACCCCAATTTTGAAGAAGAGAAATGGAATATTACGCATAAAAGCAGTTTATCAGCTGGGTAGAGTCCTTACATAGAATTATAGCACCATTCCCATTTCAATTTCGGTGAGGGCTGGGAACAGTATCAACTGCTATGTGAATCTGTCATGGTCAGAGAATAAGCTAAAACTCATTATGCTTGTAAAATGCTTGTAACGTGACTTGGAGTTGAGAATAAAGTTGTG